TGTCAATAAATGATTTATTCTACTTCAGGAAAAAACAAGAATGAGATTAGAACTACCACAATTTCCTTCCCTCGAACCAACAGTCCACCTTAGCCACATCTACATCCACTCATTCCTTCCTTCCTGTCACAATGAAGGAGTGTCTCTCCTCCTGCTTAAGACTCATCGAGTGTCCTGTATTCTGACCCCCCGCCCTATGACGCTGTGCTATGCTGAGTCGCTTCAGTCGGGTCCGACTCTATGCAACCCCAGGGACTGTATCCCGCCAGGCTCCTCTGTCCATGGGATTCTCCAGGCAAGAATACTGGAGTGGGTTGCCATGCCCTCCTCCAGGGGATCTTCCTGACCCAGGGATCGAACCCACGTCTCTTAGATCTCCTGCACTGGCAGGCGGGTTCTTTACGACTAGCACCACCTGGGGAGCCCTACAAGGCAGCGGTTCTCAAAGTGTGGCTCCCAGACTAGCAGCACTGCCACATGAGGGACTTGTGCTTAGTCACTCAGTGGCGTCCGACTCTTGTGACCCCATGGACTGTAGCCCGCCAGGCTCCTCTGTCCATGGGGACTCTCCAGGTAAGAATACTGGAGTGGGTTGCCATGCCCTCCTCCAGGGGATCTTCCCAACCTAGGAATCAAACCCAGGTCTCCCATATTGCAGGCGGATTCTTTACCATCTGAGCCACCAGGGAAGCTGTATAAATGCAAATTCTCAGGCCCCACTTTAAACAAAGTGAATCAGAAACTTTGGAGCTAGGACCCAGCAATCTGTTTTTAACAAGGCTTCCAAGTGATTCTGTTAAAGTTCGAGATCCTCAGCCCTGAGGGAGAATTGTCTTTATCCTCTTTCCCATATCTTCAACTTCCTTTAGTACAATAGTTCCCTTGCCCAAAGGGCCTCCTTCTCGACTGCTCCATGGACCTTCTTGCGCTTCTCCATTCTATTCATCACACAGTAAGGTATCTGACCATTTCATTCCCTGTTAAGATAAAGACTAATATTTTAAGAAGGCCTGAAGGCTGGCTCTTCCAATCCCAAAGAAGGGCAGTGCCAAAGAATGATCAAACTACCAAACAACTGCATTCATTTCACACACTATTAAGGTTATGCTCAAAATCCTTCAAGTGAGACTTCAGCAATATGTGAACCGAGAACTTCCAGCCGTACAAACTGGATTCAGAAACGGCAGAGGAACCAGAGCTCAAACTGCCAGTGTTCGCTGGATCATAGAGAAAGCAGGGAAATTCTAGGAAAACAGCTACTTCTGCTTCATCGACTACGCTAAAGACTTTGACTGTGTGGATCACAACAAACTGTGGAAAATTCTTCAAGAGATGGGAATACCAGACCACCTTACCCGTCTCCTGAAAAATGAGTATGCAGGTCAAGAAGCAACTGTTAGAACTGGCCCTAGAACAAAGGACTGGTACAGAATTGGTAAAGGAGTACATCAAGGCTGTATATTGTCACCCTGCTTATTTAACTTATATGCAGAGTACATCATGCAAAATGCTGGGCTGGATGAATCATGAGCTAGAATCAAGACTGCCAGGAGAAATACCAACAACTTCAGATACCCAGATGATGCTATTCTAACGGCAGGAAGTGAAGAAAAACTAAAGAGCCTCTTGATGGGGGAGAAAGAAGAGAGTGAAAAAGCTGGCTTAAAACTCAACATTCAAAAAAACTAAGATCACAGCATCTAGTCCCATCACTTCATGTCAAACAGAAGGGGAAAAGTGGACACAGTGATAGATTTTATTTTCTTGCTTCCCTTGTGGTTCAGTTGGTAAAGAATGAACCAACTGGGTTCGATCTCTGGGTTGGGAGGATCCCCTGGAGAAGGGAAAGGCTACCCACTCCAGTATTCTGGCCCGGAGAAGTTCATGGACTATAGTTCATGGGGTCACAAAGAGTCAGACACGACTGAGCAACTTTCACTTTCACTTTATCTTCTTGGGCTCCAAAAATCACTGCTGACAATGACTGCAGCCATGAAACTGAAAGACGTTTACTCCTTGGAAGGGAAGCTATGACAAACCTAGACAGCATATTAAAAAGCAGAGACATCACTTTGCCAACAAAGTTCCATACAGTCAAAGCTATGGTTCTCACTGTAATAATGTACAGATCTGAGAGCTGGACCATAAAGAAACCTGAGCACCAAAGAATTGATGCTTTTGAATTATGATGGTAGAGAAGACTCTCGAGAGTCTCTTGAACTGCAAGGAGATGAAACCAGTCAATCCTAAAGGAAATCAACCCTTAATATTCATTGAAAGGACTGATTGTGAAGCTCCAATACTCAGACCACCTGAGGAGATGAGCCAACTCATTGAAAAGGCTTTGATGCTTGGTAAGATTGAAGGCAAAAGAAGGGGTAGCAGAGGATGAAATGGTTAGATAGCATCAGACTCCACGGACATAGATCTGAGCAAGCTCTGGGAGACAGGATAGGACAGGGAAGCCGGGGTGCTGCAGTCCATGGGGCCGCAAGAGATGGACATGACTTGGCAGCTGAGCGAGGCTCGGGGCACCTTTGAGACTCTTCTTTCTCTAAAGGTCTCTTGCTCTGTTCGCCAAGCAAGACCAGTCTCTCTCAACTTTGTGATCTTGCCGTGTTCTAAGGCATCTAACACACTTTGAAACTGTGATTCTTCCTGCCTGAATTATTCTGCCGGTTTTTTCCCCTAACTCCTACTTCTACTTCAATCTCAGCTCCAACTTTCCTTACTTAGGGTGGCCTAACTTGACCCCTTAATCTTAATTAGGTCCCTGTTAGATGTTCTTACAGTACTCTACTTACCCTCTTATAATGTACATCGAGCTTATAAGTATTTAATTATCATAAATGACATGTCTATTTTCCTTGCCAGAGTGTAAGCTCTATTAAGGCAGGAATCATGATCTTATTTGATATAATATTTGTACTGCCTTGCTTTTAGTACAACACCTTACAGACAGTAAATGTGCAGTAAATATGTGCTGACTAAACCTCTGCACACACTGGACCTCTCTCTAGAAATTTTTTTTTTTTTAACTTTTAAACCCCAACTGAAATTCTACACATCCATTAAGAAATAAGTTAAAAATCTCTGTAAACTCTTCCCTGCACACACACATCACTTGCCTGCTCAAGAGGATCACTTCTTCTTTTGTGTTCCTATTGTGCAGTAGTGGGTTAGCCAAAAGTTCGTTTGCGTTTTTCCATAAGATGTTACAGAAAAACCCAAACAAACTTTTTGGCCAACCCAATACATAAATCTACTAATGCAGTAATTATACACTACTGGGGGACTTCCCAAGTGGTCCAGTGGTTAGGAATCCACCAGCCAATGCCAGGGACACAGGTTCGATCCCTGGTCTGGGACGATCCCACCTGCTGCAGGGCAACGAGGCCTGTGGGCCACAGCTACTAAGCCAATGTGCCCTAGAACCCATGCTTCCACAACAAGAGAAGCCACTGTAATGCGAAGCCCCCATACCACAAAAACAGAGTAGCCCCCACTCACTGCAACTAGAGAAAGTCCATGAGCCACAATGAAGACCCAGCACAGTCAAAAAAATAAAATAAAATTTTAAAAGCTGGTTCTTTAAAAAAAAAAAATTATACAGTATTGTAAACACCATCTTCATGCCTGAGTTTCCACTAGACTATAAACTCCTGAGAGCACAGATCATGTCTTGTTTACCTCTAGTGCTTAGGAAAGTACCTGACACTGACAATAAGTGAAAGTCGCTCAGTCATGTCCAACTCTTTGCGATTCCATGGACTATACAGTCCATGGCATTTTCCAGGCTAGAATACTGGAATGGGTAGCCTTTCCCTTCTCCAGGGGATCTTCCCAACCCAGGGATTGAACCCAGGTCTCCTGCATTGTGGGTGGATTCTTCACCAGCTGAGCCACCAGGGAAGCCCAAGAATACTGGAGCAGGTGGCCTATCCCTTCCCCAGCGGATCTTCCCAACCCAGGAATCAAACCAGGGTCTCCTGCATTGCAGGCAGATTCTTTACCAACTGAGCTATGAGGGAAGCCTAACATTGACAATAAAAGTCCATAAATGTTTATGAGCAAATTGAACCTAATACTGTAGCTCTAAAATTGCAAAGAAAGGTTCTGCTATTTATTAGCTGCATGATCAAACTGTTTAACCTATTTGGACCTCAGTTTCCTCACTAGGAAAACGGGGTTAATAACACATACTTGGAAATATTGCTATGAAAATTAAACAAAATGACATAACACAATGATTAGCACACACAGTGTCTGGCATGTAGTAGCCTCCCCACTCTGGCTTTAACTTGGTAGAGACAACTAGGACAAAACAAAGACAAAAATAAGTCACAGCAATTGAGGGAGAATGAGCACAGGGTGAGTCATTCCTCTTAATCGTTTTCCCAGGAAGATCAACAATGAAGAAACATAATCAGCAGAATAAACTCTACTGGTAGTATCTCCCTTAGCATACAAAGCTTGGTAAGAATTCACCCGAGGCCTCTTGGCTAATGGCCACATCCGGCTCCCCAGACCAGCAGGTCCAGGTCTTATGCAGTACCAGGATGGTTCCTTCAGAATGGAATAGAAACTATCTCGTAAGGAAAGTGTTTACCAGCAGGAGATGGGGGAGGAGGAGGAGAACTTGACTACAACCGCATCAATCGTTTTGCAATCCGGCAGAAAATGCTGCAGAATTGATGGTGGAGACTAACACCCACACAAACGTACTTACCTGTAGCCAAGAACCAGCTTAGACAAGATAATGAGCAGCTTTCTGCTTAAACCAAAACAATGGTCAGATCTGCATGGAGTGCACATCCCTAAGATCAAATCACCCGTGAACACCTGGGCAGCACCGACTAAGCTGACACCAAGCAGATGTGGACACACACTCCTCAGCCTGTGAGCGCCGCCCACGAGCACGGCTTTGAAGCTCGTGTGTGCCAAATGCAAAAGCAGATTAAACTAGTTTTCTAGTCGCTCCTTATTCATGATATGCTTACCTCTGCAGAGCCAGTGCTGTTTAGATCACCAAGTTCATTCGTTTTAGAAGGCTGTGTCACTGCAGCTACTTCTTCACTGGGATTCTCTCTCTTCCGAAGCTTCCTGATTAAGCTCCACTGGTCACTGGATAAAGTGGGTCTGAATGGAGTTCTGGGTGGGCTCTGCCTCCTCCAAGATGCCCTGTTCCAACCTAGCCCCAAAATATGTGGTACATCATCTTCAGGTAGAAAGTCCAAATCATCTTCAATTTGGAATTTTTTGAAAAACACCAGCATTGAGTTGGAAGAGTCTGTCCTAAAAGCCTGGCAGCTCTGGGGCCTGCTGCAGTCTGCCTGGATGCACATCCCCTCTAACCACCAAAAGGCATGACAGGCAGAGTTCTGGCAGCAGGCAGCCCAACATGACTGGAGAGAGGGGGTTCCTTCTAGAAGCTGGAGGTGATTTTCTCCCCTGGATCTCAGGCCAAAACCAAACTGTGTCTTCACTCGCTGGCACCTGCTCTCCTTGGCATCTAAAAACAAAGAATGGAAACATTTTAAAATGAAATAAAAGCAGAGACTCCAGCTCTGTAAAGAGTCCTGAATACCAACATTGGAGGCTATTTTGAAGACTGGTTTTTAAAAGGGTGGGAAAGCTGCCTGGTTAAGTGGAAAAGAAGATACAAAAGAGAGATTTTTTGGCTCAGCATATTTTAGCTGGTAGAAGTACTGCTCCATGCTTATTGCTGGCTCCCCTCCTCAATAAGTCCCTTGCATGTAGACCTTTTACACAAACTCCAGTTCATGAAACAGAAATAGAGTACTCCCCCTCCACTGAGCTGGCAGCAACACAAACTGAGTTCTCTTGACCTCTTGCAGGCTGCAGGTTCATACATTTTCTAATCAGCAGTTGGTCACAGTCAGGTGGCTTTGCACATCACAGCATTAATCAGAGCAGTAGTCAAGTTTACCAAAAATTTTATTCTGCTAGATGAACTTTCTAATGAGAAGTTATGTCATAATAAGAAATAAAGGAAGAGAAGTACAACAGTGACCTACCATGGTTAACCTAGATAACATGGTCCAAAATTCTGGCTAATGTTGCTTATGGATAAACTTTTGAGCCACTGAATTTTTTCAGGCATGGTATTGGTTTTCCTGAAATATCACCTCATTTCTGTTTTCTTAGATAAAGTTAAAGCATTTTTTTTTTAATAATTATTTTTATTTGGCTGCGCCGGGTCTTAGTTGCAGTATGTAGGATCTAGTTCCCTGGCCAGGGATCGAACCTGGGCCCCCTGCATTTGGAGCACAGAGACTTAGCCACCGGACCACCAGAGAAATCCCAAAGCATGTTCTAAAGTTTTTACACAGAGTTCACTTTAAGGTCCTAGTTATACAGGTGTCTGTAACCAACTATGGTCAGGGTGATGTGTGTGTTAGTCGCTCAGTCGTGTCTGACTCTGCAATCCCATGGACTGCAGCCCACCAGGCTTCTCTGTCCATGGATTCTCCAGGCAAGAATACTGGGGTGGGTAGCCACGCACTTCTCCAGGGGATCTTCCCAACACAGGGATCGAACTGGGGTCTCCTGCACTGGAGTACTCCTCAAGTACTCCTGCACTACTTGAATCTGGTAAAGGCTGATTCTTTACCTTCTGAGCCACCTCTAAGAAGTCAAGATTATACAGGGCCAGAACCAGGTGAGGCAAGGGAGATGCCCCGGGCACAAGTGTTAAAGAAGTGCTTAGTCTTAAGAGTCATGTAAGTGCAGGGCTGGCTTATTCCACCTTGAGATTGAGTGTCTCCTTAAATTGCATACCCTAGGTACCTCTTTCTTCACCCTAGTCCCAGCCAGGGGTTCTAACATAAAATGCAGAATTACATATAGAAAATATGTAATAGAATCAAACCACTGAGGAGATAAGACAGTCATATCTGCATGTGCGCATAACTGAAAAAGGGTTAGACTGACTAAAGCAACAACTGGATAATCCACCAGAGCCATCATGACTCAAAGGAAACACTTACTAAGTGTGGATACTAGTCAACTGAAAGACAAGAGAAAAATAGGAAGGCTTGTGGATTATGGAATCAAACACTATGGAAGCCAATCTACCACTGTGCTTTTAAAAAAAGAAATACGGGCACCAACCTAACATCAGACAAGGCAACTTAGAGGCCAGAAAAAAAAAAACTTCCTTAAGAAAAGGTGAATAAATAGAAACTATTTTAAAAATGATGCTACTAAGAGCTATAGAAACACTCCTCATTTCTTCATCCACCTTCTCACACAATAACCAATGGTATGACTCAGTAACAGCTGAGTGCACAGAGTTTATTGAAATCAGTAAATTGTTACATCAATAGCTACTGTCAGTTACCTTTAGATCAACTTTCCATCATTCCTCTCACAAAAAGTCTCTCATATTTAATACAGTGAAAAGATCCACAAAAACGAAAATAACTTGCACTTTTCTATAAGCCAGTATTTTTTTTAATGTACTGTGACCTCCACTTCTGTCCTTGAAGGAGAAACTGCCATAGAATTTGCTTTCCTACTGTTGAGAAACTAGAAGACTAGACAAAAAATATATATGAAACAATTGGTTGGGGCACTTAACAACAATGTGATCTGGGACTGTGATCCCAGAGAGAAAGGAAATTAACAAGGGTGAGCCCTATGATCACTCTGGCTTTCTGTTTACAGACCAGGCATGCTGCAGACTGTGAGACAGGGAAGAACCTAAGCAGAGCATGGTGGTCTTGCTCAGTTGACGAAACAAGAGTTCACGGGGACTGTGGTAGCTAGAAACTACCAGAAAGAAGGAGTTACACAGAGAAAGAGCTCCAGACATCTGGATAGTGGTTCCCCTTGGTGTAATACTAATTTACACCAAGTGTAGGTTGAAACCATGAAAGTTTAGAAAGCATTTTGAACTGAATGAAACTGAAAACACAACATACTAAAATGTGTGGGATACAGTTAAAGCAATGTTTAGAGGGCCATTTATAGCTTTACATGCTTATTTTAGAAAAGAAGAAAAGTCTAAAATCAATGATCTAGAAAGACACATAGGGAGAATGCATTGTGATGATAGAAGCGGAGATGTAAATGATATAGCTGCATGCCAAGAAAAGTCAAGGACTAACAGTGACCACCAAAAGCTAAGAAGAGTTAAAGGAGGTTTCTACCCAAAGATTCAGAAGGAAGCAACCGAGCCAACGCCTTGATTTAGGATTTCTAACCTCCAGAACTATCAGCCTAAGCATGACTTTCTCCCCTTACCTGGAAGAATACTTCAGAAGCCAGATGGCTCCAAGACTACCAAGGGCATAGATCCAGGGATCACTGACATCTGCAAATGTGACTGTGGCCTTTACTTAGATTGAATGAAGATACCCAGATGCTATGTGATGAACATGTACACGGATATATGATGCTGGAAAACTACAGGAATCTGTTGTTATGGGGCTTCTCTCTCTTTCAAGCTGAAATTAATAGCCCAACTGGAGCAAGGGGTAGAGCCCTGGATGAAAGTATGAGAAGCTCCACCAGGTACCTGTGCAGTCCAAGAGCACTGGTTTGGAACAAAGATGTCAGACCTAAAGCAAAATAAATACTTCTGAAGGGTCTGCTCTGAAAGGGCAAACAAAAGTGTCACAATCGATATAGGTTTGAAGTAGAAGTACAGAAGTGCCACAGAGAAAGAGTACTATAATGTAGCAAAGTCTTCAAATATAAATTCTCCTTTATTAAACACCAGAGACATTATACTCACAAAAAAATCTCATAAACATAAAGAATGTGTGATAGACATTATGAGCAGTTCATTCCTTTTGATCATAAAATTCACATAAGAAAACAACCTTATAGATGTACAGAATGTGGGAAATTCTTAAAGAAGCACTCAACAATTATTAATCAATAGGGAATTCACTATAGAGAGAAACCCTATAAATGCAATCAGTGTGGAAAAGCTTTCAGAAAGAACTCTATTCTTTTAAGTCAACAGAGAATTCAGACCAGTCAGAAACCCTTACTAATGTAAAGACTGTGAGAAAGTCTGTGCTCAGAAGGTAGCCCTTACTCATCATGACAGAATACATTGTGGAGAAAGACCTTTTACATGTAATGAAGGTGGGAAAGTTTTCAGGGACAACTTAACTCCGTTGGAACATAAGAAAATCCATACTGAAGAGAAACCATACTATTATAATCAGTGTGGGAAAATCTATGCTCAGAAGGTAGCCCTTACTCATCATGACAGAATACATTGTGGAGAAAGACCTTTTACATGTAATGAAGGTGGGAAAGTTTTCAGGGACAACTTAACTCCGTTGGAACATAAGAAAATCCATACTGAAGAGAAACCATACTATTATAATCAGTGTGGGAAAATCTTTAGGAAGAATTCAACTCTTATTAATCATCAAAGAATGCATAAAGGAGAGAAACCCCATCACTGTAGTAAATGTGGAAAATCTTTCAGGTATACAACCTTTGCTGGATATCAGAAGACTCATAGTGAAAATAAACCCTACTTATGTAATGACTGTGGGAAATTCCATTGGAAGAGTTCAATTCTTATTGGACATCAGAGAACCAATACCAGAGAAACAAAATTATAAACAAAATTAATGTAGAAACACTTTTCCCCCAAAGTTCAGCCCTTAAACAACATAGGAAAATTTATAACAAACAAAGAATCATGAAATGCAGTTAATGTGGTAAATCACATAGAAGTAGTTTATTCCTTCTGAGCATTAAGACAAGACATTCAATAAATTATACATCTAACAAAAACATTCTGTGTACTTCTATCCTGGAGAATTTCCCACTTGTGAGGATTTCAGTGTAGTTTGTACTGGTGAAATATTTGAAGAACCTAATATAGAAATAGTTACTGCAGAATACTATACAGAAAGTGAAAAGAATGAGGTCGAGTTCCATATGTAGCTGAAGAAATATACCCATGATACCTTTAGCAAGCTGCAGAAAACCTATATGTTATGGTCTTATTTATATTCTTCAGAATGAAGCTTTTTTGTTTGTAGATAAATGCATTCAAAAATATCTGGAAAAGTAAAGGCCAAACTTTACTGGTGGGAATACCAGACCACCTTACCTGCCTCCTGAGAAACTTGTATGCAGGTCAAGAAGCAACAGTTAGAACCAGACATAGAACAATAGACTGGTTCCAAATTGGGAAAGGAGTGTGTCAAGGCTGTATATTGTCATCCTGTTTATTTAATTTATATGCAGAGTACATCATGCAAAATGCTGGGCTGGATGAATCACAAACGAGAATCAAGATTGCCGGGAGAAATAGCAATAACCTCAGATATGCAGATGACATCACCCTTATGGCAGAAAGCAAAGAGGAATTAAAGAGCCTCTTGATGAAGGTGAAAGAGGAGAGTGAAAAAGCTGGCTTAAAATTCAGCATTCAAAAAACTAAGATCATGGCATCTGCTCCCATCACTTCATGGCATACAGATGGGGAAACAATGGAAAGAGTGAAAGATTTTA